TATTTTATTAAACTTATTCATTTAATAATAGATAATATCATAACAATAATAATTTCAGGTTTAAAATTATAATAGTTTAATAAAATAAGTTTAGTTTTTAAAATTTACCGCCAAAATCGTTTGCAATTTGCGAACTTGCTTGCGAACTTGGTTCGGAATTTCATAACGAATTTCGCCGATAATTTGATGCGAAACTTCCGAATTTGATTGGCCGGTTTCCAATCAACTTGGTGATCTTATGTTTATAGTTCCCAAATTCCCAACCAACCTCGCAACTGGCACGGCCAAAGTTTCGTGAAATCAACTGTAAAGCCATGAGGGGATGCGGATATGTGATTTATTTATTATTTTTGTTTGCAGTATATACTAAAATGATTATTCACATCAGTCTCTGTAAACATTGCAAGAATAATCACCTCGACTCTTCGTGTCTCGGTCAATATGTCCTTGCACTATTTGCCAACAATGAGGCGAATAGTTGTTATTAAGTAACTATCTTGAACAGTATTAGAAACCACGTTTTGCGTTAAATGTTTGTAGCAAAACAACAATGGTAAGCACTCTACAGTTCTGGCTGAATCAGTTTGAAGAACAAGATATCAACATGCACCACCTCAAGTACTCCTTGAAAACACTTCATCCATGAAAGTAGTAGCTATGGCAACCAATTTCCGGAATCACGTGACGTCGTTCATTGGTTGTGATTCGCATGTCTGGCGCTCTACGAATGTCTGGAGCATTTTCTGGAAACTCACTGTGGAATTTTCTGTGCGTTGCTGACTTGCTATAATTTCCCCGAAGATGACGTAAATCATTTCTGAGTGTCCCGAATTTTCCCGTACTACTTGGTCGGTACTGCAACGTATTTGTGTAAAGCTGGGTTAGGGGAGCGGCAGGGAATAAAAGTGGTGTGGTCGCAAGTATGGATTGTCGTTGAATACTAGGTGCAGTCAATGGCCTTTCTGTTTCGGCTGCAATGGTTGTCCAAGGTTTGTTTAAACTTTGGAAAGCATGTTGATGGTTGTTATCTTTCCCCATGTCGTTCACGAAACTGGAGGATGTCTTGTAACCGTTTGAAATTGTTACACTTTCACTGAATTTAACACTTCTGTTACGTTTTGCTTCATTTATCTTCTTTGTTGATGCTGTGCGCAAAATGGAAGTGGGGGTATTGGTATTTACGTCTGCGGAATAATCCTTGACATACGTTGTATCGTATGGTTGCGCTTCCTTTCCGTCTAATGATTTTTTTGCCTCAAGGGACATCTAAATAAACCAAATCAAACCAACTTAGTGAGGAATACATATATATTCCCGAACAACGCACGTAGCGTGGGTACTATATTTGACTCTCGGCTATTTTCACCCGCGTGAAGAAAGCAATCACATCTTGTCTTAATTTCTCAGTTCATATTTTTAAAGCAAAGTTTTAAAATACGAAGAAATTAAGACAAATGTGATTGCAAACGTTGTGGTATAGGGCACGGCAAGAAGCATTTGGCCGCTGGTCGCTGGCAACTGCAAAATACAATTTTAATTAATCGTAGGTTTGCGATTTTCAAAATCGCGGTAGACGATTGCGATTTTCAAAATCGCAATCGTCTTTATATCATGCAGTTGCACTTGAAACCAGTCATGCATTTTGCTTACATATTATACCTTAAATTCAAAGTGTCCAACCAGAAAGCTAAGTTTATGTCACGTAAGCATGAAATTTATCATCGAATCGCGCCTTACGTCATCGTATTTGACGTAAGCGGGTGACTTGAATTATATCACATGGCGATTTGATCATGTCACCCGGGTCGGTGACATAATTCGCGTAAAACACGCGCGGTGATCAGGCAAACAAGATGGCCGCTGCAAATATATACAAGCCTTGATGAATAATTCAGTTTTTAATTAAACTACTTTTTTCGAAAATTTTGAAAAAAGTTTGAAAAATGTTATCATCAATATTCCAAACGATATGTGATGTAAAAGAAAAGTTGCAAATACTTGCGTTAGTAAAAAGATAAAACAATAACATTTTATAGTCAAGTTCTATATTTTCAACTTGGAGGCCTTTATCATATAGGCTATAATTATATCTATAATTGGCAATTTATAATTTATAATTTATAATTTATAGATCCTCCGCTCGGGGGATTCTGACTCTGGCTTCAGGTCTATAAATGATAAATGTACACATGGTAAAGAATGAGTATCAGCTCAAATTAACGATCACGTATCAGTACGTATCAAAGACGTTCATTATTGTTGTTTTATACTATGTAACTTACGTTCTTCTGGCATTCATGGACTGGATGTGTGCCCAAGACAGACTGATTAGGATTCCTTGATCCATTTGCTGAATACTGTCGAGTGTACTCTGAATCTCCACTGACCACGTCAATTATCTTTTGCTGTGCTTCTGCAGTCTTTTGTGAGACTGACAGAATTGGAGGTCGATCCCAAAAATCGGGCTTAACTGATGTCGGTGGGGTGGGATAAAATTGCTGCTTTTGCATGCCATGACCTTTAACCAACTGAAATCAATGTGACGAATAACATTGTTAATAGCTAGGGTGGACAACAAGCGCAAATGGCTGATTTGTGGTCACGTGGCTTTAGATAAATGCATGCAATGTATCCTGCTGGGCAACAAGTGAAAAATCAGGTTGCCGCCCCGACCGGCTACGTACATAAATAAACAAAATGGCGGCACAACTCACAAGTTCATAAATTACGACTTTTTAAGTTTGTGTTAAAATATATAGAATGTAAAAGGAAGGAAAATACACAACAGCCAACAGCATATACTGAAACAGCTTAAGTATGTTCTTTTAATTTTAAACCCGTTTATACTACATCATATATTTTTTTTGTCATGAATTGTGAAACTCATCAATAATTCATGAAGCAATATCCGATACAATGCGGCCGCTCATGTTGTAAATAGTACACACAATAATTGTGTATGAATGGCCGTTGTTAATTTTTCTTTCGTCGCAGTATAATGAAACACTTAATTAATGCCTGTTCCCTTGGGAAGTAGTTTATCCTCGAATCAAAACTAACTATTTTACTATTTCCCTCCGGAGCATGCAGACAGCAGGTGTGTAATATAATTAATAGCAGTATTAGACGAAAATGTTAATTTTACGTATCAAAGATAAAATACTAATGAACAGGCAGGACAACATCCATCAAAGATATACAAAAATACTATTTTATAAATCAGTAAGGCCTGGGTCAAATGTCGAACTTTTCATGCGCCCAACCTAATACAATTAGATTCGACATTATGTCGACGATGGAGCGGCGTCGAGTCGAACTTAGTACGTCGTACCAGGGGCGTAGGACACAGGGGGCCAGGCCCCCCCAAGTTTTGCCAAGTGCCCTTTTTTCGGGAGCAAAGTTCCCTTTTCTTGCGTGAAAAATGTCTTAAGGATTGCCTTTTTTCCCCAAAGGACACTTTTGAAAACTTGAATTCCGTTAAAAATATGCTGTATCCGGAAAAGTTTTTGGTACATCCGAAAATTTTTTTTCATATTTAGGAAAAAATGTGATATATCCGTAAAATTTTTTTGGTATGTCCGGAAAAATTTTTTGAGACCTCCCTCCTGTCGCCAACTTTGCCGGGAAAAAATTTTTAGATGCCCTTTTTTATTTGGAAAGTGCCCCTCAAAGTCTGGCCCCCCAACTTCTAGAAGCTAATTCCTACGCCCCTGCGTCGTACCCAATTCATACTATTATTTTACATGAGGTATCACTTTATAAATCGCCGGCGCGAACTGGCGGAAAATTTTAAAAACAAATAAACAATTCAAAATGTTGCCTTATGAAAGAACTGTTGAAAAAATATTAAAGAGCGACTGCGTAAAAGACGTCGGAAACTCTTAGATGCGGGAATGGTATATTAGCCTTTCGGCGCAAAAGATTGATACTTCAAGCATGCTTATTGGCGGCTACGGCTTTAAAATCCCTGAATTCGACGTTTCGATACGTAGATGCAGAGGACTGCAAAGAAACACTGGTTGGTGGCTGTTAGTATGGCATTCATACTCTGATAAACGCTTTAAAAAAACTTTTCCAGAGAAACGATTGATTACATTCTTTCCCGTATTCTTGGGTTTCATATGACGTCACAAAAGTGACGGCGGGTCAACTCCAAAACAAAACACAGTTATCAGAGTGAGTCGATTGTTCGTTTTATGTATTAGCCTTGTGTTTGGTGCCAAATACATGGAATTTCGGATCATTTTCTCACTCCAGTACAGCATAAGCATCAATACATTTGAGGTTGACCCCCGTCAGATTCACTACTGCATAGTGCCGTAGTGAAACCCAAGGATACGTCAAGTCAAACGGTCGCACTTCTGTACAACTTAATACAACTATTAGGTTCGGCGCACGGAAAGTTCAACGTTTGACCCGGGCCTAGGTTATTAATATTTATATCACAATTTATAGATCGTTTGTGCTTCGCGTCCGACATTGCAAATGTCCATACAGGTCGCGGTTTCTTTTTTTTTTATCTATTTTACTTATAAATATTACCTGGTTAAAACTATGTCCATGCCATTGAAGAGGTCTTCTTTCGGAATCACAAGGAAGACGCACAACCTCGCGTCTGTGTGGTGAGCCACTTATCTTCTCCGCAACAACATAATTATCGCATGCGGACGGCGCAAATGATGGCAAAGATGTCGACCTACTTAGAGCCAATCGACCATTTCGGGTGTCGTCAGGCGAGTTTTGTCCAGGAAACACGGCGAATTTTGGCATGTGAGAATTTTGCGGATGCTCGGCAGGAAAGGGTGCATTTACGATATTGGATCTAAAAATTTGATTCAGAGTTGCCTGATTAATATTGAACCAGTTTTGTTTTGAGTGAAGAATATTAAGAGCAGAATCTTTTGTAAAACTATAATTAAATAAATATATTTTCCACTTCATGGATATGACTATATTCAATTTTTTATTTTTGACACGTTTTTCAAGCGGCAAACAAACATAAAAAGTATGTTTAGTGCTTTATCTGTTCTAAAATACGAGATTTTATAGCATACGTACGCTGAAGAGAAAATGATGTTTGAAGTTTTAATAAGTTTGGCTTATAGGCCTATTGCTGCATGTATATACTAATTATGGCGTCAGTTCAGTTTACAGCATATATAAATGATAATTAACTTGACAAATGAATTATTTTAAGAGGCAATTTTTTCAATCTCGCGTATTTGCGCCGATAAAAAGTGTTCAAAACTCAAAATCCTTTTGGCGGTTCCGCTCAAAAATGACTTTGCAATTGTTTTAGCTTTATTTTTTAGTCACAGTTAGCTATACCTTTTTAAATGTATCTGGCGATTGCGAAACACAAATAATAGTTATTAATTAAATTAAATTATTATTTGCTAAACATAAACATTGCCAAGAACATTGTCAATATATTCCCAGCAGACCTATTCGCTTTATATACTCAGTTAATTTACTTTGGCATGTTTGGTCAATTTTGGGCTGGCATTAATTAGGTAAGTTTGCATGACGTTAGTCTTGTCATGTGAGAAACAGCTGAAATTAAAAATAGAAAGCCTATAGCTCTAGGCTGATTATATATTCCGTAATTGAATGTGTGACATCAAGAGTTAACATTTATCAATCAAGTGATTTTAGGCCTCGTGAAAATATTACATATCCAGCGTCAACCCATTTTTGATTTTGATAGTTCGGCATCGCTAGAAATCGCGGACATTTGGAATACAGCATGCATTCTCGCCCAGTCCCCATGTTCACTCTTATTTTCAAATTTTATCAGGAATGTTGTAGATGGTTATCCACTTTTAACATAAATTATCTTTTAAGAATCATACTAAATTAAAATTGTGCATTGTGGAAACAAAATTCCGTTAACTAATCAAGGAAATAAGAAAGAAAACTAAAACCAATAATAAAATATAATGATTATTTACGATACTTAAAACTGGGCAACAACGCAATTAAATGTGCGGCAGGATTTCTAACTAATTTATCAAAACGACAATAATCCACATTTTACAAAGTCAAATTACGGCTTAATGATCAATGAACTTAAAAATGTGCAGTATTATTTAAATAATATGCAGATATTAGTATCCGAAACAATTGTTCGCATATCTTAATCTGTGGTGTCAATGTGTATTTGCTTCATTCCAAGTTTGCATAAAATTGAAGGTTCGTTTATTAGAAACGATCATCAGGTTCTAATGTCGCGGTTTGGCGATGATTTTTTAGGCAAAAATGACCCAAAATATATCATTTGAAAGCTCTTTTCTTCTGTTTTTTGTTTGTTTACATTTTGTAATTCTTTTAGTATGATTACATTTTGTAATAATCCTTTTTCTAATCCTTTTAATAATGCTTTTAGTTATATTTAGAATAATAAATTTCGGGGATCGAAAGGGGTAACAAGGGGCATAGACATAAGGGATGTTTCGGGATTCAAATGTCCGCGATTTCTAGCGATGGCAGGAGCCAGTTTATTTTTTACTTTAGGGACCAACACATGCAGCTTTCATCTTGCGATCATGGGTACGTCATGCATGAACACAGTCAGAACCATGCATGCAACTTTAATATATGCAAGCAATGCACGCCATGAGCTTATCGACCGCTTGCTTAAATTTCAGATTGGCTTTGGACGAGAGTATGTCAACTCCTTCTATTGATCTGTTCCGCAAACTGGAATGGACTCCCATCTACAACTTAATTAAGATGCAAAAAATTTTACTCGTTGTAAACACCTTGCGTAGCTCATCTCCAAACCTTGGTCAAACCCAGTGAACTGTAATAACACTGGAACGCTAACTGCAGATAAACATGCCCATACTTGCCTGAAGCCAAGATGGCGCTTCTTGCGAGCACAGCGAGCAATAAATTAACTTTCAAAAAGACTGGGGAGAGTTTCGAGGAGCGGGAAATTCAGTCAAAAGTTTGTTTTTGAGAGAAAATCAGCAAGAAAAAGCACTTTTTTATCGAAAGTCTTCAACTTTAAAGATTCAAACCTGGTTTCCTGGATAGTTCTAAGTATTTTACATCCACTAACAGCAAAAACGTCCTGGGTAACAGCTTGATATTCAAAATATTACACAAGTTTGAACGTGCCGAAAAAAAACTTCGCACTTTGACTCCTGAAAAAAGAACTTTATAACTGCTCTACGTTCTGGAAACATGTTTTGTATTAAATTTCAGGTATTGTTGAAATAAAGTTTTTGGCTTTTTTCCTTGTTGAAATACAGCTATTTAGTGGTCGAAAACAGACATCTTTTAGGTGGCATATTTTCCACTCCATACCTACATGGCGGCCATCATGAGTGGCTTCAAAGATGGCGGCCAAGTTATCGTTCCAGTTCTCATAGAGTTCACTGGTCAAACCTTGTCCTGCAGGAGTCCCACAAGGGTCTGTGATGTCCCCAGCTCTTTTTAATATTCACATTAACGATATTGAGAACTCAATCCCAGATGGATTAGCCATAAATATATGCAAATACGCGGATGACTGTACACAGGACGAAGTGGTGTCACAAGATTCATCCAGCCATATGCAGGAGGCCCTTGAAGCAGTACAAGAATGGTCTAATAGGAACAAAATGACGATAAATTCGAAGAAAACAAAAGATATGTGGATATGTTTTAACACAGCAATACCGGCACCAGAACCATTGGTCATTGGAAACGAGGCAGTGGAAAGAGTAAATTCTCATAAACTGTTGGGTGTCTGGCATCAAAACAATTTGAAATGGAACTGTCATGTCAAGAACATTGTAAGGAAAGCAAATAAGCGAATGTTTAGTCTGAGAGAATGTCGTAGAGCGAATCTTCCTACTGAGGTCGGTATTACATCTTATGAATCCAAGATTAGACCTGTTTTAGAGTATGCAGCTCTGATATGAGGTGGTTTACCACAATATCTCATTGATGAAATAGAGAGCATTCAAAACAGATGCATCAAAATCCTCGGCACATCTCGGTGCAACTTTGAAACGCTAGAACAAAGAAGGGCACACCTAACTGTTAAGGAATACCAAAGAATTCTAAGTGATCCGACCAACCCATGCAATAAACTTATCCCCCAACCTTTTACCCATGAACACGATCTAAGAACAACAAATAATCTACCATATGTTGTATATATATAACTGGTATAAACATTTTTGGCAACATTGATGTAAATAATAGTAAAATTTCTTCTTTTCAATTTTAACCTTAACACTTCTTGTAAATCCATTGTACTTTTCTAACCAAAGAAGGATATTAAAATGAATGTTATAATATAGAATCTGCGTGAGCTGTTTTGTTTCTCAGGGGCGTCGCACGATGTATATACTCGCTCCTCTGTAACTGACCTCAAAATATCATCTTATGTCAAATCTAATCTTTCCAAGACCAAACTCTCATATAGTGGAGTTTTCCTTTTCATTTCTTTACCAAATGACGTGAAAGTGTTTAATGATTACTCCCCTTCTGCGTATAAACATAAATTTAAGAGGTTTTTTTCTAATCTTAATTATAAAGTTGACCATCTTGAACAATTTTCCTGTCCTTCTTGCAAAAACTTATAGTTAAGTGCATTTCTTACTCGCACTGAATTTCCTCTTATTCTTTACTAGGCGCTCATATTGTCAAAAATGTTTAAACAAAAACACATTATGTATGCTTAATAATATAGTTATTTCTGTATTTGGTGCTATAGTCCCATGTGCTGTGTCTAATACAACTAGTTTAGCTTCTTCGTATATAGCTCATCTAAATTTCTTTCGCTTCTTTGTAAATAGCTCATCTAAATTTTATATAGAGACCATTTGGTAGAATACCTTTTCAGGTAAAAATATATATTTACCCTCATCAAAATAAAGTATATTATTATTATTATGATCATTATTATATAAATTAATCCCCGAGCCAACGGCGCGGAGCGCCGTTCCGCGCGAGCGTAAGCCTTGAGCGAGGGTATACTAATTCCGTCCGGCTATTTACCCCGAGGAAAGGAAAGCATTTATTAGCGAAGTCTAAAGTTCATCAATGATCGCGGGCGCGGGCTATCGTCCGTGGTTTGGTGGGTGGTCATCATTGATCTCATAATATAGCGGACTGTTATGAATAGCGATCACAGATTGGTCAATTTAAAATTTGCATTATAACGCTGCATGACGACAGCGAAAAAGCCAAACATTTCTTGCTTTGATGATTTCTTGAAAATATATTTCATTTTTGCAAGATTTTGTAAATTTCAAAAGCTTTTTGAGAAGCTAACAAGGCGAAAGAATTTCCAAAAGAAGGGAGGGTAAAGGCGCCGACGTTAACGATGGTAAGTTTGTTTAATTAAATATTGATATATAGTTCGCTTTATAATTGCTTTATAGGCTGATCGTTGCGTATATTTTAATTAAATGAAAAAGGACAGCATATAATTTCAGTGTTTCTTTATTGATTACTCTTTTTTATTATATTAAAATTTTCAAATAAAAAAGAAAGCAAAGTTATACGAATGCGAGAATTTGAAATCATTTGATTTCAAACTTGGTAGAATACAAATTCAAACTCAAACTAGTTTTTCGATGAAGGCATTTTAGTTTTATAAAGAACATTTTAAAACGTTTTGCGAAGCCTTTGTGGTTGAATTTTACCTTAATTAAATTGAAGCTTATATTACGTACCTTACATATACCTAACATATATATGTTTGGGAAATTTATAATTTTGTAATTAAAAGTGATATTGTTAGGGGATTTCTCATTTGTAAAAATATTCTTAAAAAATTATCGTGTTTACCACAGAGTATAGGTACATAATATATACAGAGGTCTCATTTCTGGTGGAAAACCGTAAGGTAGTTTTTACAGAAATAGCTGGCGGCCATGTTCTTAGCCTGTCCGGTAAAGAGAGGCATTCACCCCCCTGGAACATTAAATTTCAATATGTTTTCGTGGGGGTGATGGCCTCTCTTTGCCGGACTGGCTAAGAACATGGAGGACTGAGAAAA